GAAACAGACACAAAACAGCCTGAATAGATACGGAACAAAGAAAACTGGACACAACAAGCCAAACGTATCCACGGCTGGACTCGGATCGGCGCTACGTTGATGGAAAACAGACAGAAATGGACGCAAACGCTCATAAAGAGAAACTAAACAATGAAAGAGACACAAAACAGCCAAAATAAATGGAACACAGACAAAACTAGACACAAAACGATGTACACACACACACACACACACAGTGTCTCTCTCTCTCACACACACACACACACACTGTCTCACACACACACACACACACGTAAACGTTTTACCTTCGGTCCGTTCATCAAAGTCTTCGTCTCCTTCCTCCGAGGCCACTGAATAGTCGGACTGGTTGTCTGATTGGTCCTCCTGCCAGTCTGCACAGAGCACAGAGACACCGATCAGCCATCAATAATCAAAGATACACTCCAGCTGAGGAGGGCTTCGGCCAGCGGGGGGCGCCGCTGCAGCTAAGCGACAGTTAATCTGAAGGTTCTGTAGCAAACATCTGCAGCCTGAGGTCCTGGTTATTGTTGTTAATATGATCATAAATAATAACTCAACAACAACAACAACAACAACAACAACAACAACAACAATAATAATAATAATAATAATAATAATAATAACTAAACTAACACACGGACACACTGAACAGCTCACAAACATGCAGGACGACTCAAACACACACAGCTTACACTGATCACTGCAGCTGGAGTATTATGGTCTGTCTTACTCTGTTTTCCTACTCAGGCTTCAGAACCAACCTGCTGAGCTGCATCAGCATCACTTTGGCTGAACACACGTGAAGCTACGAGTCGACGGCTGCATGCACTCAGACCACCACAGACACACAGAAGAGGTTGCATGATGTTGTTCTGTACCCTGTCTAATACCTCGGTCCTCCTGCGAGCCGTCATTGTAGTTGACCGGCTTGCGTGTTCGTTTGCCTTTGCCCAGGTTTCGGGCGAGATCCTCCTGCTGCTGCTCGTAGTGATGTCGCAGCAGCTTCTCCCAGTAGTCGGGGTCGACGCTCTCCTCCTGCTTTATCACCTCCCGCTCCACCTCCTCCTCCTCACACAGACAACAGCCGCTCAGGTCACACATGCAACAGTCTGAAGCAGTGACTACTCTGACAAACGGGAAACGCTGGGCCTGAGCTCAACCTGCACATCTCCCCCTCGGCTTTAAGCTAATCCTCTGAGCCTGTGGTTCACGTTTCACTCTGACTAACGTCTTCTGTCAGGAAGACTCAGTCAGAGGACAGGAACAGGTGGAAGTTATTGATTATCTGTTGTTAAAAAAATGTTTCCACAGTTTTACCAGTTGGAACATCACGTCGCAGACGTTTAACATGTTCACTAGTTTCCGTCCTCTCTGCCTGCACTTCACCTGACATCAGTAGCGCTGAACAGGGACGACATGCTCGTAGTCTACAGGCTAATTATTAAATGCTAAGTGTGGAATAAAGTGATTTTGATGAAACATCACAATATTTTAGAGGTAACTTAAAATCCAAATGCAGCCTCTGATTGATAAACGGAGACATTCTGGTGTTTCTTAGAGACGTGTTCAGAGGAATGAAAAAGCTTAAAAGTGTTGAAGTTCAGCCTGTCTCTGTGGTTAAGACTCTTAGACAAACCCTGCTCAGTAAGACCCTAGAGCGGCCCAGTTAAAAGCCAGATGCTGGTCTGAGTCGGTACCTCGTCGTCCTCGTCTTTCACCACATATTGAGCCACCTTGAAGGAGCTCAGGTACTCGTTCATGCTCTGCAGCTCCGTGTCCTCGGTGGCGTCCTGGTTCCTGTCCAGCAGCCGGTCGATGGCCTGGTCGTCGTAGTGGATCACGCTGCTGTCGTCCTCCTTGTTGTCTCCTGAAAGCAGAACGGATCCAGAGGAGACGGGAGGAAGCAGAACCTTTAATCACTGACACACCAGGTCTCTGTACGAACAGCGTCCTCCTCCAGCCTTCCTCACCGTCTCCCACTTCGTCCTTGAACAGCTCTTCGGTTCCAAACTTGAGGATGTCGTCGAGCTCCTGCTTGGACATGGAGCCAGTCTTAGAGCCCAGACCGGGCCGGACCACGAGGTGGGTCAGCATCATCTTCTTCTTGGCCACCTGCAGGGAGACGAGCAGTGAGCAGCTGACGGCAGCCTCCTGACATTTACATGAGTTTCCCTGAACAGACCTGAGTGATTCTCTCCTCCACAGACGCTTTGGTCACGAAGCGGTAAATCATCACCTTCCTGTTCTGGCCGATCCGATGAGCTCTGCTGAACGCCTGCAGAGAACATAAAGCAGATTATGTTGTGCAACTGGAACGTATGAGCTGCTTCAGAGCCCAAACTGTGATCTGAAGAAGCTTTCAGGATGTTTTTAGGGGAGAATAAAGGTCCAGTATCTCTGAGTGGCCCTGAATCTGACTGAACTCAGAGAACAGTCTTCTGTCCTCTCGACGTCCTCGTCCAGCTTCTCCTCCTCTCCAGAGTCATTTCATCTCACATCATCAGGGGCTTCTGTTGCACTATCTGTGAGGTTCCCCCTGGCTCTGGTTACCTGGATGTCATTGTGGGGGTTCCAGTCGGAGTCGTAGATGATGACGGTGTCGGCGGAGGCCAGGTTGATGCCCAGACCTCCGGCTCTGGTGGAGAGCAGGAAGGCGAACTGCTGAGCTCCAGGAGCTGCAGGATGAAGATCAGAGTCCAGGTGAGACCAACAGACTCCACCTCAGCTGCTCTGAGACACGAATCAAATGCACCCAGTGACTCACCGTTGAAGCGATCGATGGCTTCCTGCCGCAGGTTTCCGGTGACGCCTCCGTCGATCCTCTCGTACTTGTAGCCTTCGTTCTCCAGGAAGTCCTCCAGCAGGTCGAGCATCTTGGTCATCTGGGAGAACACCAGAACCCTGTGGCCTCCATCCTTCAGCCTCCGCATCATCTTCTGCAGCAGCATCAGCTTCCCTGAGGACTTGGTCAGCGCCGTGCCTTCGTACATGCCGTTTGGAAGCTTCGGCGCCTCCTGAAAGCAGAAAACAAACCAACTGCATCACACGGGCTTCGGCTCAGAGACCCGATCCAGAGGAGAAGGAAGGCGGCGCTCACGGTGGCAGCAGCCGGGAACAGGTACGGATGGTTGCAGCACTTCTTCAGGTCCATCACTACGTTCAGCAGAGACACTTGGTTTCCACCTCCACGAGTGTTCAGGGCCTCGAAGTTACGAGTCAGAATAAACTTGTAGTATTTCCTGAGTTACAGAAGAAATGAGACAAAACACAGTGAGGAAGGAGATAAAGTCGATATGAGGTCCTCGTGAGCAGAACGCAGATATTAACAACTTGAATCGTGTCGTAACTGTGAAGAACTGTGATCTTTACAAAGAATGGAAGCAGCTGAAACACGAGCTACCAGCCGGAAACGGTCTCATTAAAACAGGAGTCAGAAGGAAACCACTTTCAGGAACAACATAAATTCCTCCCGTAGACTCCAGACAAACACCAGCGACCCTGATGAACACGAGGACCTGGAGCTCCACTCTGCTGCTACTCACTTCTGCATCGGGCTCAGCTCCACCCGGACGATGAGCTCCGTCTTTGAAGGCATGTGTTTGAAGACGTCGGCCTTCAGCCTCCTCAGCATGTGTGGTCCCAGCATGTCGTGCAGCTTCTTGATCTGGTCCTCTTTGGCAATGTCTGCAAACTCCTCCAGAAAACCCTCCAGGTTACTGCAAGGAGAACACACCAGTTAGCTCAGCGGTCGGGGGTCTGCAGCAGACAAACATCTGCACAGGCGACTGACTTGAATCTCTCTGGAGTCAGGAAGTTCAGCAGGTGGAAAAGCTCCTCCAGGTTGTTCTGCAGAGGAGTTCCAGTCAGCAGCAGCTTGTGCTGCAGCGGGTAGTTGTTCAACACCCGGAAGAACTGCAAAGATTCACAAAACAGATTCAGAACCAGAGCAGACGACAGTGAGCAGCGCCGCGGCTCAGCAGCTGTTTGAACTGCTTTACTGAACACTGAATGATATATATGGAAGCCTTTCTTCACAGTGGGAGACCTGGACAAGCCCTCTGCAGGCCCAGGTCCAGCCCCAGGCCCAGGTCCAGGTCCAGGCCCAGCCCCAGGCCCAGGCCCAGGTCCAGGCCCAGGTCCAGGTCCAGCCCCAGGTCCAGGCCCAGGCCCAGGCCCAGGCCCAGGCCCAGGNCCCAGGCCCAGGCCCAGGTCCAGGCCCAGGTCCAGGTCCAGCCCCAGGTCCAGGCCCAGGCCCAGGCCCAGGCCCAGGCCCAGGCCCAGGCCCAGGTCCAGGTCCAGCCCCAGGTCCAGCCCCAGGCCCAGGCCCAGGCCCAGGCCCAGGCCCAGGTCCAGGCCCAGGTCCAGGTCCAGCCCCAGGCCCAGGCCCAGGCCCAGGCCCAGGTCCAGGTCCAGGTCCAGCCCCAGGTCCAGCCCCAGGTCCAGCCCCAGGCCCAGGTCCAGCATCCTGCCTCGACTAGGTCACACACTACTATTTAAATAAAAAGAAGATGTGCTGGTACCTTGGACTGGTTGTTCTTGAGCCGGTGAGCCTCGTCCACCACCAGACAGGCCCACTCGATGGAGCCCAGAACCGCCTGGTCGATGGTGATCAGCTCGTAGGACGTCAGCAGGACGTGGAACTTCACCTGAGTGTCTTTCTATAAAGCACAAACACGAGAGCTGAGTGAAGAACAGGTTCTGGTTCTGGGTTCCTGCTAACGTAGAACTGAGTTTAAGGCCTTATGGTCCACGGTCCCTGAACGTTCTGGACCAAAACAGAGCCGGTGCGTTTGCTGACATCTGAAGGTGTTTCAGCAGGTCGGTTAGTGGAGCCCAAAGTCCAGACCCGACGGTTGCTGTGCTGCTGGAACCGTTCAGTCCTCTGGAGCTGAGATTCGACCCAAATGAAGCCAATTAAAAGAGAAAACTGAAGCCTTCACGTTCACTTGTCTGTAGTTTTATTCACTTCTTTTGTTTACTGCACACGTCATTAGATGTTCTGCTGTTTCTCATCTCGTGTCTCCTTCAGCTGGTTCAGTCCAGTTAGAATCACTCCAGAAATCACTTCATGCAACCGGTCCAGAGTTTTTAGATTAATTTAGTCATTTAATTTAGATTTTCTTCTACATCTGCTGTAAAGCTCTCTGAAGAACCTCAGTGTGTGAAAATGTGCTCTTCACGTGTCTACAGTTACAAGCTAATCTGGATCTGTAGCGGTACCCGTGGTTCTGGTGGTTCTGACCTTCATCTTGGAGGCCTTCTTTCCTCCTCGGATGGCGTTTCCCTCGAAGGAGAACTCGTTCTCTCGGATCACTGCTCGGCTGTCTTTGTCTCCCACGTACGTCACCACGTACATGTCTGGAGCCCACATCTCGAACTCCCGCTCCCAGTTGATGATGGTGGACAGAGGAGCGCTGACCAGGAACGGACCTTTGGAGTGACCCTGAACCAGAACAACACATGAGTCCGTTTATCACAGGTTCACAGCTCGGCCCGGATCATTACATTTACAGTGAGTTCATATTTGACCAGCAGGTTTCTTCAGAACACAGTAAAAACTCAACGACTGCATCAGCTGTTCAGACTGGATCAGAACCTGACAGAACCATCAGCTGTTCTGCCTTCAGAGTGGATCAGAACCTGATAGAACATGGGAGGAACTACCAGGAACATCTGGAAGGAGATAAAAGCTGCATTTTATCTAAACATTGTGAGAGTGAAGTTGAACTTCTGTGAGTCCGTTGAAGTCTTTCCATCCAGAACAAACCTGTTGATCAAATGAATGGTGTCAGCAGGCTGAGGTGCAGCATCAGCCAGTAGATGTGTGAGTGCTGTATATTTGGTTCCTCTCTGAGACGGGTTCTGTGGGTTGCTGACTGACGGAGGACTGCAGAGGACAGAAATGAGCACCAACCCTCCCTCCATCAGCTGTTACCTCCTTGTACAGAGAGTAGAGGAACACGGCCGTCTGCACAGTCTTTCCCAAACCCATCTCGTCAGCCAGGATGGTGTCGGTGGCCTGAGCCCAGGAGAACCGGAGCCAGTTCAGCCCCTCCAGCTGGTAGGGGTGCAGGGTTCCCCCGGTGCTGTCCAGGTAGTCGGGCTGCCGGTCGAACTTGATGGTGGGCTGCAGGAAGAAACCAGGACACATCAGAGGAACACCTGTCCTGCTTCAGTCACCTTCAGAAGAGTTTAAAAACACTCACATCCACCACCGGATTAGCAGGCGGACGCTCGGCCTTCTTCACTTTCACCGGCTTCTTCAGCTTCTTCCCCGGGCGGCCCTCCTCCCCCATCATCAGCTCTCTGAACAAACAACACGTTTCAGCTGCATCAAGCGTGTTAGAAACCTCAGAGCTGCTCAGAGCTGCTCAGAAGTGCTTCAGCATCGACGCCACGATGGGAAACGACATCATTCAATCAAACACATCCGGCTGCAACTGCTTAACACACAAAGGAAACTCTCACAGCTCTCGTTCTCCAGAACGTCTGTCTGACAGAACCTCCTTCACTCTGGTTCAGGCTTCAGGAGTTTATCTAACGGTGCTGAGCTGCAGCTCCACATGAGCAGCAACATGAAGGAAGGAAAGCAGCTGATGATGTCTGATCAGAACAGCTCCTCTGCCTGCAGCTGCTGCTAGTTCTCCTGACCACTCCTTCACAGTCATTCATGCTAAGCTCCTGTATCTTCAGCTTGACTGCTCACCTGTGGTTCCAGTACGTCTGTTTGTAGGTGTCGAACTCGGGAATGTCCATGTCTTCACTCTCCCAGGTGGACTGGTCATACGGCAGGTCTCTCCACTTGATCAGGTAGTGGACGTTGTTCTTCTTATCGACGCTGATGGAAATAATCATGTCAGCTTGTTCATACAGGGTGAAACTACATCTTTGCCTGTTTTCTTCTCAACAGAACACAGTCTGACATTAACCTTCCTCTGCACTACTTCAGTTCCTCCTTTTCATCAGGTACTAGAACCCTAAAGGTTCTAAGGCCGGCGTGTCAACACTCAAAGGTCATTTAGTTTCTTGACTCTTGGAGTCGGCGCTGCAGGTTTCCTACCTGTGGTTCAGGATGCGGTGGATCATCAGCCACTCCATCTTCACCCCGTAGCGGTAAAACTCTTCTTCCATGTGGACGAACAGGGGATCCTTGTTCTTCCTCTTGGTGCTCTTATCATCGTCGCCTTCGCCTCCGAAGTCGACCGGCGGCGGTTCGTCCATGTCGGTCTTCCTCTGGTAGTTACGGAACATCACCTGACAGTTCAGCTCCAGCTGGGGGAGAGTCAGAGGAGGCCGGCGTTAAGACCACAGCAGCTGGTCGCCACCTGCAGCTGGACCGTTTCAGGGTTTTACCTGCAGCTCCTGAACCCAGGAGCAGTGCCAGTACGACATGTTGCACCACTTGACGAAGAACTCCCTCTCTCGGCGGCCGGCCAGCGGTGGGGGATCGGGAGCGTCGGCAGGAAGGTCGGCAGGCCGAGGGACCGGCGTCGGGGCCGGCGGGTCGCCCCAGCGCCACGTCAGAACCTTCTGCACTTTACCCTTCATGGGTGGACACTGTTGGAGAGAAAACAGATGAATCCTCTGAACCCAAAGACACCACACCATCTAACAGCCAAACAGCACAAAACCAGAACCGACTCAGAGTCTCTTTAGTATAAGATCTGCTGTGAGTTGTTCCGTCAGGAAATGAACCGAATCTGAGATCAAAATCATGATATTTGAAGAACCATCACTTTATTCTACAAGTCCAATTTAAAACTTCTCCAAAAATACAGTTTTCTGTCGCCAGCAGACACAAAGACGTAAAAAATGATTAAAATGTGACACAAAACGAGAAAAAGACATTAAATGAGACACAACAGGACAGAAGGGAGACAAAAAAAACATCACAACCACAAAGAGACAAACCTGTCACAAAGAGAAATGAAACGACAGCAACGATCCACAAAACCAGACAGACGACAAACCATCGGAGAGGCTGTCAAACTGTGAAGAGCTAGAGATGTACAGGATGAGCTGTTCCATGTTTCCATGATTCTATCAGGAGAATAAAGTCATTCTGGTAAAATAGCATCATTTTAAGCTCAGATTTGTTCAATTTTCCAAACATAAATACATGTAACAGACGACACGTTCAAGGACCAGCTGAAAGTTGAAAATCCAGTCACTCTTCTTCTGGTTACAGTTTCTGGCTGATAAAAGCCAGAAAATGTGTAAACTTTGGTGATTTTTGAAAAGAAAACATGTCTTTCGAATCCCGCGGCTGGTTTAAAAGCTCAGAGTGAATTTTCTGCCTACAGGACGTGGAGCCTCCAGCCGTTACCAGCACACGGCTGTGGACACTAAAAAACTGCTGCTGAGTGCAGGTTTTTCTCAAATAAAAAAATAAAGTTTATTTCTTCTGGTTTCCATCATTCTGACTGAGTCCTGCTGACAGAACACATCTCTGAGTTCTCTCTCCTCCTTCCTGTTCTGGTCCACAGAGCTGCAGGACTTTATGCTGAAAAAATGAACCTCAGTAAAAGCGAGTCTCCAGTGAGGAGAGATGTGCAGGAGTTCAGGGGGCGCGAACCAGAGGCTCACCGCTGAACAAATCTGCTTTTAAAGTAATTTAAGGTGACTTTTACAACAGGAAATCACCAAAATAAAACCTGCTGTGGTCATTCAGACTATGCATCTGTGGTTCCATTTGCAGGCCACGTGCACGCCCACATGCACGCCCACGTGAGCAGGCAGCAGTGCACGGCTCACCTTGCAGCGGGGGCAGATCCACTCTCCGTTGGGGATCTCGGGCAGCGGCGGGTTCAGGCAGTGGATGTGGTAGGAGGACGGGCAGGTGTCGCAGCACAGCAGCTCTCCTCCGTCCTTACAGACCCGACAGAACTCAATGTGGTGGTCGTCCTCCTCCTCCAGGCCTTCGTCACGCCGCTCCTCGTCCTCCTCGCCCTCCGCCTCCGACAGCTCGTCCCGGGCCTCCCACTGGATCCCCTCCTTCTCCTGGAGCAGCGGGAGGGGAGGGGGAGCAGGCATGTGCACGTCGGCGTGTGCACGTCAGCATGTGCACGTCAGCATGTGCACGTCAGCATGTGCATGTTAGCGTGTAGAGCCAGAGGGAGGGGGAGGGGAGGAAATGGAGAATAGAAGGGGGGTGAGGGGGGCAGCAGAGGACAAAGAAAATAGAGAACAGAGAACCAGTTAGAACCACAGCGAGCAGAGAACGTTCACAGACTCACTGCAGTTCTGCTGTTTACGTCACAGAACCAGAACACGAAGCTCATGCATCATCACAATCCATCCAATCAGCAGAGCTCCTGACATTCAGTAGGTCTGTGTGTCTCAACGACCCATCCAGGTGGGTAAACTCACCTGGTCCCAGGTAAATGTGACATCAGAACTCTGTTCAAGCTA